TACTGAAAAACTTCAAAGTCATTTTAGAATAGGTTAATCAAATAAAAAGTTTAGTTCGAGAGTCTTAAAAAGAGTGTTAATATCCTTAATTTAAATAATATGCTAAATGGAGAAGTCCACAAGAAAATGAAAAATTTCAAATTAGGATAACTTCACAACACATCAAATACTTAAGAGACCTGCTATGAACAGAATGTTTGTGTCCCCTCCCCACCCAAATTCATATATTGAAACCTAATCTCCAATGAAGAAGTTTTGGAGGTGGGCGCTATGGGAGGTAATTAGGTCAGGAGGACAGATTCTTCATGAATGGAAGTAGTGTCCTTATGACTTAGGTCACAGAGAGTTGCCTTATCTTTCTACCCATGTGAGATTACATGAGGAAGATACCCATTTATAAACCAGATATCGAGTCCTCACCAGACTCCTTCATCTTGGAATTCCTGCCTTCAGAACTGTGAGAATAGATTTCTGTAGATCATAAGCCAGCCTACCTAGACAACACCAAGGATCTTTGTTATGATGAAATGCTTTCTTTTTCAGAGAGAAAAACTAAAAATTAAGTAACATTCATCCACAGATATTTTTCAGTTTATGATTATTTTTTCTAACCACATTTTAAGTTTAAAATACACAAAGGAAGATCATTGTATTGATACTCAGAGGCAAAATTATCCTGACTCATAACTACACCAAATATCCTGACATGGAAAAAAGTATTCCGATCTTCCTGTGCTCTCTAATAAAATTTTCTCACTGAATTATGTAGTTTGAATATAATAAGTTTAAATTATCTTATAGTGAATCATGACAAGATACTAAAAGGTTAAGTATGTACCATGCTGTAGTTTTCCTCTCAAACGTAATTACTCCTCCTTCAGATGGACTCAGGGTGCCACATTCTTCTCAGCTCTGGCGCTTTCAATGAGACCCTCTGACCTGTTTTATGCCTGACACTGAAAACGACAGTTAGGAATAAAGATGCAAAGCTCAGGGAGGTATGAATGAATTCCTTCTTAGCAGAAAAGTACCTACTAGGACAAATCCGAAGGAAATATTTGAATATTTCACTAAGTACAAAAATTACTCTGTAGTCTTTTTCAAGAGTTTACACAAGAATTCTAAGTAGATGCCATTGTGTCAATCAGATGTGAATAAAATTTGTAAGGTGCAAAATACAAGCTAAATCATACCTCACCATCTATATATGCAGTGTCCTGTAAAATGAGATCTAGTTCTGACATACATCTTATAATAGCAAAAATTATTATTTTTTTTACTGCTAAGGAAATAACTATATTAAACTATAAATATTTAATTCAAATTAGTGACTTTTGCGCAAATGTGTATTTTTAGTAACCATTAAGATTATGTCAATGTTTTTTGAAAATTTTTATTGATGCATTATAATTATACATAATAGTGATGTTTATTATGCCATATTCATACATGCACATAGCATAATTGAATGTTTTTCAGTAACAATAGGTAAAAAGAAGCAATTTCTGAGAGTCCTAAGAGTCAAATGGAACCAGTGATTATTATCATAATATAAGAGGCTCAGATATTTTTCTTCCTCTTTAATTCCACATCTTATTCAGTCAGTATACAATATTAGGTAGCCTTATAGCACTACCATTGACTTTAAGAATCAGAGTAAACATCTGCATCTACCTCTAATCATGTTAGAGATGCTTTGAAAATAATTTTTGGAGTAAGGAAACGTATGAGAATATACAGACATTTCATAATCACAAATGAACAGCTCTAATATCAGACATTTCACAGATAAACTATGTAAAATTGCCAGATTAAGCAAATAAAATAAAAATAGAATAGCCACTTAAATTTGAATTTCAGTAAACAATGGATTTTATTTAAATATAAGCATGTCCCAATTATTGCATGGGAGAACACCAAATATTGTTTTGCACTAAAAATTTTTCACTATAGTAAAACTTTTCCATTAAATTTAGTATTACATAGTGCACTAAAATTATTTTGTACTTTAAAATTATTCATTGTTTATGTAAATTTAACTGAATATTTTCTATTTGATGTACCAATTCTATGAAAAGACTTTGTGTAGTAGTAATGTTCTTTCCTCCTATTACACTGTGTGTCCCTTTATGGTAGGGATAGTGTAATTCATACCTAAGCCACTCATGATACATAATGGACACACAACAGAAATGTGTTGGGTGAATAAATGAATATAAACAAATTTTAAAGAACCTCAAATCCATTCTATCTATGAAAATTTTGAGTTGTGAAATTTTTGTCAAATCCTCAGTTATACATTATTTACTTCCAGAAATATTCCTTACCTTTGTGCATCTGATAGAATCACTTCTCTTTTTGCTTTAACGTTTCATTATTAAATGGTAGGTTATATACATCCTGAGAACAATAATAGTCCTGAGTTTTGCCTTTTGCATGAGTTTACAAAATGCTCCAGGATGGTATATAGATGAGAAGCAAATTAATCTAATTCACCAAAGTAAGTTACTGCTTACTTATTCCCTCCCTCCCTTCCCCGCTCTCTGCATATACACATACACATATTCAAACTGTAGATGAAGGCATGTGGTTTTGCAAGTTTATACTTCTACTCACAGAGCTAATGTAAACTGATTGGGTAACACATCTCAGAAATGACCATGGCCTCAATAAAATTGTGAAATGTGAGATTAGGTACCTTTTTGATATTCCCACCCTTCTTATGACTCCTGTTTTCCCACAGCTGGGCTGTTTCAGTGACCTATTTTCCAAGGACCTCAACCTCCCACAGCACTGTCAGGACTATCAGAACCACATCAACTGGTCCTCTAGGTCAGTTTTCCATCACTGTCACTAACTCTCATGACTACTACCTCATGGTGACATTTGTGCTCTCCCAGGTGGATGATGATAATCTTAACTCTGAGAACCAAATTAGCAGAGACCATAGACCTCTTTACTAAGGAAACTTTTAACAGTGCCTTTGTTTGATGATCTAACTCTAAAGAATGACTAGTAATGTGACTTACTGCCTAAATGAGAGAGAAGGAATGGTTTTTTATTATTGTTAAATCATTCTCATAAGCTAGTGGAGAAGCCTCTAGATAATTGGGACCTGAAAAATCATACATTCCCCTGAGCAAACAGCTTCTTCTGGAGAGTTGAAGTTCTTTGTAAAGTTTATTTCATATTTCCATAGTATTATCACCCTATTGAAGCAACTTAGTAGTTCAGGTAAAGGCTGCTCTACTAGGAAATCAGTGTTTGCCGTAATATGAACCCTTTTGATCTGATCAAATTGAATTCATACTGTTTTAAAAATAATATATGACCTCTGCTTCTTTCACTTTTGTCCCCACCCCCTATGACCTCAATTTGTCCTGCTAGTGCTTTTTTTAATATCTTCCCTGACTACTCCAGTCCACATTCAATAAACACTGTCTCTGAACTCAGTGATTTTATATGCAAACTTCTTGTTACCCCTGCAAAAATTGCTCAAAAATTTCTTCCTCTGTGGAAACTTGTCTGAGCAACTGTCAATTTCCATTCTATTTCTTGCAAAAGTTGTAGCATTTCCATTTCTATTCATCAGAAGAATAAGACTGAGAGTCAAGTTCTTGTTATTCACATGTGTTCCTGAATACACACTATAGATAGTTTCAAAATCTGTTATTACACTACTATAGTCAATTCCTGAAGCAATAGCAAGCTACATCATTACCTCTGCACATTTAGCCAAGTGTGCAGAGGCTGTAGGAATTCCTAAGAACTTGTAGTAGCAGCTGAAATACACTTGAAACCTAATTTTGTATGCAATAATTATTCTTTCAACTTTGTAAAGCTGGAATACCATATTTTTGAGATGAGAACGGAACACTGGAGTACACACTGTACAGATACCTACATCAAACTGTTACAAAGAATACAAAGAATATTTCCACAACTTGGTTTTCTGTGCCTTACATCAGACTCTTAAAGGGTTCTAAAATAGGTGTCTTATAAGTTGAAAATATACTAATAACTGAAGGGTATCAATAGGTGAAAATCTTACAAATTTTCAGTATTGATGTTCTTGGAGGATACCGACAGTTGTCATATCATTATTCCTTTGGGCATACAAGGTCATTCCACAAACACCTACTGACTTCTTTTCCCACTCTTCAGGAACTGTGGTTATAATACTAAAGGCAAACTCCCTAAGATCCAGGCGCTTGTAGTCTACTTACAAACACAAACACCACCATAGAAATAAGCACATCTAGGGTGGCATTTCCAGCTCTGAGGCAGCAGAAGCCGTATTATATTTCTTTTGTATACTCTTCAATCAAGCAATTAAAATTCTTCCCTTACGCACCCGTGCAAGAAGGCACAGGGTCGTTCTGTCCAGCAACACCACTACAGTGTTGAAACTTCCCCCAGCAGCTGTGCACAGCAGGATCGTTTGATTGGGGTCTAGGGAAAGGGCAGTCAGACTGGTCACAATCAGGGCTGGAGATTATTTGTAGTTAATGGCCCTGGAGGCAATGGGGTCTGGAACTACTTTAGCTATTTAGAAAATGGAAAGGGGGAGGAGAACCCAGTTTACCCCACCACTTTCTGATTGGGCCCACTTAGCATCTGCAGAGAGGACAACAATAAAATGAAAAATATTCCCAGGGGTGAAGCCCAAAGGTCAACCTCTGGCTGTGCGGGACAATGGGGGTCTGGCCTCCTCTTCTCTTCCTAAAGGATGAAGGAGTCTTAATGAAGAGACGTTTTCTCCGCCAAGATTCTAAACCCCAGCAGGTTCCACTAACTCCAGGGCAGCGAAACCACCGGCAGCAGACAGGGGGAGGGGCATCGGTATGTGAATCGCTACCCTGGGATCCAGACCTTGAGCCACAGCCGCGCCCCTCCGCCCCTCCGCCCCCCGCGCGCGACCGGGGTCCGCCGCACGCTCCCTCCGCGGTCCTGAGCCCCCGCCCCCGCCGGGCGCCGCGGCGCGCACAGCCTGCCCGAGCGCGTACCCGCACTCAGGAGCTGCTGCGCTCAGAGCGCTCAGACCTTGACCGCAGCAGCCGGCGACGGAGGCAAACTCCCGCCCGCCAGCCCTCCCGGCGACATGCGCCTCGGCTAGCGGCTCGCTGGTCCCCCGAGCCACCACGCGTCTTTTTTTTTTTTCTTCCTCTCTCGATTCTCTTTTTCTCTCCCGCACACACGCACACACAGTCTCACATCAGTCTATACACTGGAGGATAAAAAAAAAAATAACATTGCCTTCGTGCCCCCTCCCTCTCCACCCCCAGCAGCGGAGAAACGGCGCGTTGAGGGGCGCCGGACCGTCTGGAAATGCTAATCCTCAAGCGCTTCCTCGCTTGCATTCAGCTCCTCTGTGTTTGCCGCCTTGGTGAGTGATCAAGACCGCGGTGGGGTTTCATCTCCGGGCCCGGTGGGACGCGGTTGGGGGGATTTCAGAGTATTCCCTACTAGCTGCCGCCGCCATCTAGAGCAAGCAGAGAACAGGGACCATCACCTCGGATCCCGCGATGTTGGCGGTGGCAGGACGGATGTCAGCTGCGTGGGGTACGCGCCCTCTCCCCAGCTCCTGCCTCCGCCACCTTCCCTTTGCCCACGGGGATGCGTGCTCAGGACCCTGGAAAAGAGGTTGCGTTGTTAGGGTCCCTGTCCCCGCCGCTCTCTTCCCTCTTTTGCAAAGTGTGGAAATAGCCTTTTAGATACACATAAGAAGACAAATAAGTGAGCAGAAATACAACTGCGCCCAGGGGGCTACGTACTGTGTGTTGCGTTTTGCCGTTCATTTTTATGCCACGGGTATTATGGACTTAAATGGAAGACACACGTGTCTGTCGTGCATTTCACACACACCTGAAAGGTAGTACTAACAGAACAAGCACCGACCTGACTGTTCAGTGTTTTTTAGTACTTTCAATTTAGTCACATTCAAGTCTGGGCAGTCACTTAAAAAAAAAAAAAAAAGTTTCAATCAAAATATCAGCCTTCTGCCCTGCTGCCAAAGTCAGAGGAGAGCTGCAGGTTGATGGATTTGTTCATGGATTCGACTTTTTTTTTCACCGCCTTCCTCTGCCATTGCTTTCCAAAAAAGCCAGTTTGAATATTTGCTTGGGAAGCAGAATTCGATTTTCCCGTCATTTTGCAGAAGAATTGTAAGATTGGATTTTTTTTGCATGTTATTAATGTTCCCCTCCCCTTCGTGAGGCTATTTAGCCAAGATGGAATGTAACATATGGTTTGAAGGCATTAACCTGAAAATTGGAAAATGTGCCTTGGTTTGTAGGTACACATATTTAACCCCTTTTAGTCAGATAATCCCACTTTTTAAATTTCAGATTGTTCATAATAAAGAAGATATTAAACCTGCATTTTCATCGAGTGAAGGTGCTGCTCTTGGCACAGTGACCTTTACAAACAGAAATTATTTTCAAGTTCTACCTAATGAGAAACTCTTTGCAAATATGATGATGACTGCCCAAACCCCACTATATTCACTGACATGATTTAAATTCCAAAAGCTTTATCAAAGTGCTCAGGGGTGATGTTATGCACACAGTTGACATATAAGATTTGCAGGGGATTCTTTGTTCCTGGTGATGCTAAAACCTTACAGTTGATTCTGGAGAGGGGAAGACGTTTTTAAAAAGTGCTGTGATCATTGAATACACACCTGTTGAATTTACATTTCTGCATTTCTGTTATGGATCTATTTTAACAACAGAGCCAGATCCTCTTGAAACTTGAATTATTATTTAAATAAATCTCACAGTATTAAGGAAAGAAACTAGAACATTGCTTTGTACTTCACCAAAACAACAGGCTGAGAGTATATTGTGAATTAAAAAAAAATTGAGATAAAATTCACATGTCAATTTATCTTTTTAAAGCATTCAGTTCAATGGTGTTTAATATATTCAGTTACACAACTACCATTAACATTGAATTCTAGAGCATTTTATCACTTCCAAAAACCCCTCCATGCTCATTAGCCATCATTTTCTGTTCCTTCTGACTCGAGCTCTTGCCAATCACCAGTCTACTTCCTGTCTCTATAGATTTTCCTACTAGACATTTCTTATAAATAGAATCATGCAAATGTGGCCTTTTCTATCCTGCTTCATCCACTTAGCATAATGTTTTCAAGATCCATTCATGTTATAGCATTTATCAGTCCTTCATTCTTCTTTATGCCTGAGTAATATTCCATTAGGTGAATATACCACATTTGCAAAGTATTTTTTTTTCTCAGCAAAGCATTATTGTAGAGTGCTTTAATCATATAGACTTTGGTTTATTAGACATTTATCTTAGCTCTTTGATGATATAAAATTTAAGGGTAAAGAATTCAATTCACTGTTTAAGATGTTCATCCCAAACTAATGTAATGACATTGAAGTAGCTTCTATTAGAACTCAAAATGTGTTTTCTTTTCTTTTTCTTTCTTTCTTTTTTTTTTTTAAGACTACAAGATGACTCCTTTTGTATTCTTCACCACTTTAACAATGTTAGTTTTTTACACTGTTGCCGGCCGAGAGGCATTGGCAATCTAAATGGGATGAATATCTTGATCTTGGGGTACAGTGTTTCAGAAATGAAGTACATTATCTACAAATGGCAGTATCCATTTCAATTATTTTCCCTCAACACCTACTTTTTTGTTTTTATATGTATTTATTCTTCATCTTCATTGTCCATAGAGTCATCTAGCCTGGCACTTGTAATGGGTGCTCACTCAAAGTCTGAGGACTGTTAGGGTTTGCTGGGCAGGGTGTTAGCTCTGATACAGTTTGAGCTCTAATCTGTCATTCTTATTATCCAGGAAGGAGCTGTAGGCGTTCGTTGTTGGCAATTAAGAATGCCTGAGTGGTCAAGACAGCATCACTTTCTGTGCCCCAAGTGTCCTGATGGTTTGAACTGGGCAGGTAGTTGGCACTGCTTCTTTCACACAACTCTCCAGGCAGACAAGTTATCGTTTGAGTGGATGACTGCAACAGATCTTTTCCTGAACCACTGAACAGGTGTATCTTATGGGAAAATCTGCAGTGGCTTTCCTGTAAGGAAGCTTAACTGTGAGTCATAGAGGAGAGCTAAGTGTTTTGACAGCTTTTAAGGAATCATTTCTTTCCATTAATGAGAACTCAGTATCTTTGACTTACGTAACTTATAGTACAACAAAGTACATTAAATTGAGATTTTAAAGAATTGTTATTAAATGTGTAATGAATCAGATCCCAGTATTTTAGTCATGTCTTACTGCTGTGGGAGCCACACCAAATACGAATTGTCTCTAATACTTCTGCAAGATTTAATTCCTTCATTTAGCCTTGGTATAGAGTCAGTGGAATTCAACATACTGTGACTCTCAGCTTGGTCAATTTTCTTCCAAAACTACCACAAATATAAGGTGTATATTCTCACCACTCCCCTATAACAAGTCCCATTTCATTGCTTTTGATTAGGACAGCAGCAATTTTCTTTGTTTCATTTCTTCCTCCTTTAAGTTTGCCAGGACGAATCATTTCATCAATGAATTCACTTCTGTTCTCATATCTGCACTAGAGCTTAGGAATCTCACTTAAAATTTTATGTTGTGGGAATTTTGCTTCTGGCCAAAACTTTTTTTTTTTTTCTTCTGCAAGTATGAGCTGCATTTCCCCAATGCCCTTACTCCAAAAAGATGAGCTATGTTTAACCTGAGAGTTTTGCTTGGTGCCCCTTTGCCAGCTCCTCAGACCAGAGTATGGAAACAGAGCCCTCCCGATCAGATGAAGAAAATGGGCTTGTGCTTTATTTCCTGTGACCTTCTACTCCAGTATCTATCTGGTGCAGTCCCAGTACTGAACATTCTCTATCCATTTTATCATCCATCTTCTCCAAAGAGTACTTTGTGACAGGTGTTTTGAACTTGAGGAAACAGGCACAGAGAAGTGAAATGACTTACTTAACATCACACAGCCTGTGTCAATCTGAATATTCCTTCTGACCCCAGAACCTGAGGTGTTTTCTATTTTCACCTCCAGATCAGTTTTCTGTTAGGAATTTACATTACGTAGGAGGTGATGCTGCTTTTTTTTTTTTTTTTTCACAGTCTGGATTGCTTTATTATGGAGCCCCTATGTGACTTTTCCCATGTGAGCCCCATTTATTTTCCTTTTTAAAAATTCAAGGCATAATTTCCCTTTTGTTCAGTGTACCAGCTGAAGGTCTTGACAAATGCATATGTTCTTGTAAGAACCCCCACAGTCCAGACATGAACCAGTCCCATGGGTGCTACTTTACTCACCCGTGGCCTGTTTACTAAATGCTGACATCTGCCAAGCATCATGCAGCGAGGCACTAATAATTTAGCGGTGCATGAACATACAGACTGCTGGTATTTGTGATGCCTGCAATCCAGCTAATCCGATTCAGTCCCCAAACTGAAGCTCTTCTTTAAATCTCACTTAAAATACTTTCTCAGTTCACAACTACTTGAGACTAACCATCTTTTCCAAATATCTCTCAATGTGTTAAAAGTGTTAACTCTCAAATATTTTTAAATTCTTCCCACTCCATCAAGAGTGGCACTGGTAAAAGAGCCAATTTAAATTATATATATATATATATATATATATATATATATATATATATATATATATATATATATATATATTTCGATTGTGCTTTAATTTTAAATGTCTTGTTGGAAGTAATCCCTTGAAAGAACTTTAGGTTACAGAAGGAAACCAATTTCTGTCTCATAATCTTTAGAAGATATGTATGTCATATGTATGTCATAGTAGGCATTAAGGGAAAAATTATTTTAGTCTATTATACAATCCTTAAATGCTTCTCTTTTAAAACGATGCTCTCCAGTGTCATAGCCACTAGGTATGTGTGGCTGTTTAATTTAAAACCTACTAAAATAAAACCATGCACTTCTTGTATCACCCCAGCCACACGTTCAGTGCTCAGTAGGCCATGGAGCTATGGTGGGTGCTACAAGGAGCAGGGCTGATATAGAGCTGATATTTCCCTTGAACAGTGCTGAGAACAGCAGCAGCAGCAGCAGCAAGTGCTGGAGATATAGTCAGTTAGTAGAGTGCTTTCCTTGAACAAAAAAGGCCCTGGGTTCAATCCCCAGGAAGAACAAAATGGTAACAAAAAGAACAAAACAGTAACAACAACAAAAACTGACAAAGGAATGAAGGAGAGAACTCATGAGAAAACACAACTGGAAAAAAATTCTAAAGTCATTAAAATTATTTGAAACATTGTAGCAAGGTTATTTCTGGTTTATGTAGTCTCAGCCCTAGAGACATTATGGTGGCCATTGATTAAGCAGCAATAGGTGAAGAAAGTTAAGGGCCACTTTGAATCCTTCATAGGCTGTGG